AGGAAATTCACAGATGCAAGAAACACAACGACAAGTAAACCCAAAACTTACAAAGAAGAATCCCGAAGTATTTAAGCCAGCACGAGTTACACCAGATCAGGAAATATTTCAAAGTCAAACGAAGCAAGTATCAGTACACCAAACACTGCAACGTGTCACGTCAATCAAAGAAAACCGAAAATCGTTCAATCAGGATCAAGTTACAAAAGTTAAACGTCCAAATCAGTTCCAAATCCAAGCATGCAAACCAGAACAAAATTCAAGACCCATTAAACAAAATCCCAAAGTATCTATTCAATAGCAAGTCACACCAAACCGTGAAATAGTACCAGTTGAAATACAAAAACTACAAAGCCAGATAAAACCAAGATATATCGAAGAAAATCTACAAAGAATCAATGCAACGAAAAATCACAATATAACACAAGTACAAATTCAGGATACAAAAGGGCACGTAAAACCACAGAAAGTTCAAGATATTGAAACACAACAAGGTCAACAAAAGGTTACAGTCAGCGAAAATCATAACAAACGAGTTCGATTGACTCAAGAAACCCCAAGTCCGACACAATCATTGCAACAAGTTTCAATTAAACACGATAGTCAACGAAAGCAAGAGTCACAAGAAGGAAAAGATGATTCCACACGTCCGAAGGATAAGATAGACAATCCTCTGATACAAGTACAGGAACTAAGCCTAGGAATTCCAAAACCATTCAGCACCCAAAAACTGCAGAAGCCGATGAATAACTTAGATGTACTCCAGCAGAAGGATTATGATCTTGTTAGTACAGACCAAGACAAATTCTTCAAAGTATTCAAGAGCCCAAAGAAACGGCACAGGAATTATGCATGCAGGTAGTGCATCGCGGCAAGTTCATTTTTTCTCAAAGAAGGAGGGAAATGTGAGGATGGAAATTTGTAATAATTTCCAACCTACATAAATTTAAATAAATTTCGAAGAAATCTGAAATTAAAATAGATAAATTAACATTTAACATAGTTATTAGAAACTACTTACCAAAAAGCTACCCAGCCTGCACGCAACTGCAACACGTGAAGCAATCTGAAATTAGGAGATAATAAATTTGTAATAAATAGAGAAATATATCTTAATAAAATAATAAATACATACCTTCTTTGTTCATCCCCGCAAATTTATTTAAATAATTTTCTAATAAATTATTTTTTATAATTATAAAATTAAATTATAAATAATTTAATAAAAACAAGAAGCACCGCACGCAAAGTTACAAGAATTATCAAATCAAAACATAACAAGCAAATATCAAAAACGTCAAAATAGAAATTCGCCGCAAAGAGATAGACGAGATCGGTTGAGCGCACAACTTGAAGAACAGTACGAAAGTAAGACATACAAACGGGAAAGTAAACAAAACTTCACAAAACAGCAGAAAACAATTGTATGTGCGCTACACAAAAAGCTCGTCTGATCTGTATAAAAGACGACGCATTTTTGGTAAGAGTAGTGAGTCTTGTATGATCACTCGGTGGCATTGTATGTCAAAATATAAAATAAATAAATATAAAAAAATATTGTCTGACACAGTGGCGGTTTTAAGCCTAGTTGTATAAATTACTAAAATATATATATAATTGTGTACAAGTGCATGGGCGGTTTTAAGTCAAGACACTTGGACACTATTGTATAGATATTCTATAACCGAACAAGGAAATATATTTTTTTATATATACACTAACCCTTCTGTCCCACACAGGTACACATTGAGCAAGTAATCATACGAAGATACAAACCACGGAACCAGATTAGAGATCACCGAGCTCCAAAAGAACAACCTCCAGATACAGCAGAATACCAGGAAATAATCTCAAGTTTTCTCAAGTTTAATCACGTTTAATGAATTTACTTTGTTTTTTTAAAATACTATGTCATTGAATTGTACACATTAGTAATCTCAAGTTTACATAATTACGTTTAACTAAATTCTTTTTTTTTTTTTTTAAAATACTATTTTCATGAATTAATAATATTTTAAATAAATCTACATTTAAAATTTAACACACAATCCTTTATTTGAGAAGTCCTGTCTCCGCGAATATAAATTTATTGTAGCGACCCCCTGGAAAAGACTGAGGATTCCCCAGCATAAATTATAACGAAACGGGAGAATCCGTGTCGTTACACACCTAACCGGCAGTGCAAATGATAAAGCAATACAACTAATGCGCTGCATAACAAATTCATGTAACGCATCTATGGCAAAGAGAGGTCGGCGGAATGGCAGACAGCATGTGTATTGGTGGACTGATCAAATTGCCGAGCTAAGAAGAAAATGCAAATATGCGCGACGCCTATGTCAAAGAACAAGGGGTCGTGAAAACTTTATAGCGCACCAAGAAGCCTATAAAACATAGAGAACTGACCTAAAAAAGGCGATAGCAAATAGCAAGGCAAGATGCTACAAGGAAATGTGCGAGGAAGTCGAGAATAATCTCTGGGGACTAGGATACAAGGTGGTTATGAAAAAATTATATAGCTACCGTCCAGTTACAACAGACGCAGCTAAGCTACAAGTAATAGTTGAAGGCCTCTTCCCGCAGAGAGCTGATATAACTTATACAGTACAAGATAGTGAGCCACAGAATGAAATACCTGAGGTTAGCAGGCAAGAATTGGAAGTGGTATGCAAACGGATGAAACTAAACAAAGCACCTGGAGTAGATGAAATACCAAACCTGGCACTAAAGATGGCCACAGAAATCAACGCCGATTCATTCAGGGAAGTGTGCTACGCATGTATAAAGGAGAGAACATTCCCCCAGATATGGAAAATATAGAGGTTGGTGCTTATACCAAAAGGCAATAACGTACAAGATGCATCAGGCTACCGCCCGCTATGTATGATTGACACGGCCGGTAAACTTTTGAAGAACATAATTAGCCGAAGACTAGAGCAAGCCTGGAATGGCAACGGCTTTCTATTAATTCCTCTTTCGAATTAATAATTTTACAAAAATTTTCTGGAAATTTAATAAAGTATATGGACACTTCGCCACAAAATAGATGATTTTAGGCACACGTTGATTTCATCAACATAGGTTGAACGTGGAATAATTGTTAATGTTTGTCTAAAATTACCTGCCAATAAAATGAAAGCCCCTCCAAAAAATCTATCGGTGGCATTTAAATCTTTAAGTGTTCGATTTCATGCTTCCAATGAATATTTATTTGACATTGTGCATTCATCCCAAACAATGATGTGACATTTTTGAAGTACTTTAGCCATATTTGAATGTTTTTTTTATATTGCAGAAATGCAATAAATAAATGTTTCATTTTATATAAATATATAATAAAAAAATTGGTGAAATTAAATATCATATGAAATTACTATTTCTTTCAAATACATAACGAAAACTATAATTTCATTTAAGTTTAACATTATTAACATGAATGCATTTATTAAAAAAGAATATTTTGATCAATTTTCAATTTATTTCAATTAACATTTAGAATTTCTATTATATCTGTCATTTCTGTTACTTCGTAAAAGTTCGAACAATATACACAAAAATACACAAAAATAAACAAAACAGAAATCAGTATCATTCAAACTGTCGCACAGTTTGAAACAGAAATTATTAAATTTATTATTTAAGTTAAAATTATAACCAATATCGAATGTTTTAATAGCCTATGTTGCGCCTAAAAACTATATAAATATGATCTGAAACTATCAAGAAGATTAGTTCAGTCATTAAAAAGTTATTGAATAACAAACAGACGAACAAACGATTTTATATATAGATAGATATAAATGTGCAAATTTTGGTTGCTATTGTTATGCACAACACTGTATATAAATTATAAGCAGAAATTTAATAATATTCATATTTTCATATAATAGAAGTTCACCGTTGCTTCCAAAGTTTAAAAAATACTGTGACTACCAAAATTAACATAAAATACATCAAAACTTATAAACAACAAAAATAAGAATATAATTTGAAACTGATTTCCTAGAATGCAATAACAAAATCATTTTTAACTAATGCCTTCCTACTTTCCTAATGATCATCCTGATTAATTTAACTTATACACCGTTATCTGGTAAATAAGCCCTGGCTACTTATTCAGAGGCCCCTTGAAATAATTTACAAATCATTATATGTATCATTATAGTATGTTTATATAAAATAATTTGGAATGTAATGTTATTAGTCTTTAAGATTCTAAAACTTATTGTTAGGCTTTAATTTAAAGCGATTCAATAAAGATATATTGTTATATAAAAAAAAAAAAAATTAATGTCAATGCGACGCATCACATTATTTGGTTTCGTTTGGCTTCATTTCCTTCAAGCATGTTTTCTTCTATTCCCGAATTTGCACAAAAACTGTTCTGTGTACAATTGAAAACCGAAATTTCAAATAGTACAAATAAAAAATTATTAAATTTTGCATTGTCTAATAACGCAACCATAAAAACAATTATCAAATGCATGTCCTCTTCTTACTTGCTTTAAAGGTGACTTACGATATTTTATAATATTTATTATTGTTGTCATTTGTATTTAAAATCAAACTCAGAAAATAATAATTAAATTTGATTTTTTTGAAAATGAATATCCCAACGCGCAAATTATGTTTTATTTTCGAAAATACGACATAAGCAAGGAGTTTTTTTGGATTTGCAATATGTATTTTTATGTATTTAAGGTACAAATAATAATTGTTTCTGCTTTTTAAAATAAAAAACCAGAGTGTAAGTTATTTGTGCGTTGAAAAATAAAAGGCTTATAATAATAATTATTATTGTTATTATAAATTTATTACTATTAATTAACGACTTCAATATTTAGTATCATTGATGAGTACTTAGCAATACTTATGCTGTGTGTATTCTGAATGTGGTTTCAGAATTTTAACAAATTCATGTTAAAGCAGCAAACATTGCCGTAATGGTTTTCAAATGAAAAATTATTGTTTTTATTAGCATATTAGGTAATTAAAATTAAAATTAATTAAATTATTTAATTTTCGGAACATCAAAATTTCCAAAATGATATATTTATACAATTGAAAATGACTGAACCATTATCAATAATCTGGCACACTCATGGCGATTTTATAATTCGTGATATTGACCCAAAATGGCATAACCGTGTTTGCAATTATTTGGTAGAAAACTATGTGAAACCACGTACTAAGTTCCTTAGTCTTATAGATGAATATTTGCCGGTTAACGAGGAGGAATACCGGATGTTTGCAAAACATATCCTTCAAAATGAATGCAGCATTGTTGTGATGAATGAAGATAAGGAAATATTTGGAGTGGCTCTTTTAATGTGGATGACAAAGATATGGAGAACTTGGTAACTACTAGTTTTATAATACTTGTACAAATAAGTTAAATTTTATTTTGAGAACCAGGACAGCTATTCGTCTTAAATGCAATCACCGTAGATCAAATTATTTGGTACAATTATGTCAGGGGATGGTGTATGAACATGCAGAGAACTTTAATGGATCCACCCATGATAGCTTAAACGTGTTTCATTATTGTCTTAATGATCAACTAAGGGAAGATAAACTCTTCATGTGTAAGTGGTTTTCAAGCATTATTAAAGTTGCTCGTCATATGAAAATGCCTAAAATAACTTATATTGCGTTATCGGTTGCAGACCAAAGAGAGGCAAAGGCAGCTGGATTTAAGGAGGCATCTAGATGTGTTTACTCACTTTTTAAATACAAGGGCATGCGTCCTTTTGCTCGTTTGCGTGAAATTGATGAAAATTTTGCTGTATTATACATGTGCTATGTGGAATCTTTAGTTCCATATTATAAAATGACTGTATTTGAACCACAAGAACTTGAGCTACCAGCATATTTTGCCGCTTTTGAAACAAAGTAAATAACATTGCGTCAGTAAGCAAATTTCTGGTAGATTAAATTTAAAAGTAATATACAATAATAATATATCTTAGACCTCAGACTTTAATTTTTTTGATTTATGAAATCGTTATATTCAATTAAAGTTCTAAAACACATATGAATTAATTCTACTAGTGACATAAGAAAGTTTTTAATAAAAACTACACAATATTCATCTTTTGAAGAGTATACGCGTCCCTCATTTTTACCACTGTTGTGCGAACACAAATATATCGAACAACTTTATAAAATTTTTATAAATTATTTTATTTAGGTGAATTAATGCATACGTTCGTTATGCCGGTTTATTTCTAAGTATCTTACTTATGCTCAGCTTTATTAACTTAGAGCTAAACTTAAACTTACGAAAATGGTGAAGAATGGTGAAGCATGCATGCAAAAAATCTTATCGCACATAGTGTGGTTTTAAATAACATAAAGGCGTTGATGTCGTATGTGTGCTTAAGCAACAGGAATGTACTGGCCAGGGATAATTCATGTTGCTGTGCGCTACTAAGTAAATTATAATGTCTTTTAAGACTGTTTAACATCAAAGTATATTTACAGAAGTTGTTTCAAAATAAATGTATTCTCTGTATTCTATTGGATTGTAAGGAGTCGGATGAGTCTCAAACAGCATCTTCTACATTCCCTGATTCAACAAAAGAGGATCTGGCGACCGAGTACATGGCGGTATAACCATGCCAACATCTTGCTGCAGTAGGAAATGGTTTCAACAGAAGTGGTGAATGTGGCAAGTTTGAAGGCCGCATGTCCAATAAATTTTTGTCAAAGATAGCAGCCCTACCACCAAACTTTGAGAATTAAAGGCTGATCCCCCATGATTCTCGAGAACAACCCTTATCAATAACAATACAATCTAAAGAAATCGGCAAAACTATTTGATGACGAACATTGGCTTAGGCACATGGATTCGATTTACTCAGCGGAACGTGAGAACTTTCTACCAGGCAAGAAAACTAGCACAGTTAACATCTGAGTGCAAAAGGCTATGTATCGTACACTTCCGGCGAAAAGCGTACCACAGATAGTTATCTGGTGGTATATTTTGGCATTAGTAATTTGAACGACCCACATGTTAACGGCGTTGACATGTATTTCACTCGTAAAATAAGTCCAGCTTTACTTGAATGGCGTCTAAAATCTAAAATAATCCTCACAGCGTGACTGAATTCTGAAAATCGAAAAATAACAATTGTCCAATACTACGCTCCAACAGAAGAAAGTGAATTTAAAGCCAAAGTACAATTCTACAGTTTGTAAGATAGAACGCTTACACAAATTAACTGCAATGATCTAGTAATATTGATGGGTGACTTTAATGCGTGTATAGGGTCGTCAATACGAGAAATGAAAATGTGATTGGAAAACATGGGATTGGAGAGAAAAACGAAATGTTTCCTAACAGAAACATGCTCCAACCATGGACTTAAGATTGGCGGTTCTCTTTTCATCCACAAAAACATACATAAAACAACGTGAAATCTCTAGGGGTATTCAGACAACAGATTAGTTGCTTAGTAAATTAAAAAACTTCATATAAAAAAAATTAGCATTTTGATGTTAATCTCCTGCTTCTACGAACAAAATGCGTAATCTGATTAGTTTGTTGTGTGCAAATGCCTTGGCAGCACTCGTACAGCAAAGGGAAACGTGTGTTAACAGTGAAATACTCAAATATTCGTAAATTTTAATATCATTTAAATTTATCATATAATTTATCATATAACTAAAATTGCAAACGTGTCATATATCAAGAAGTAGAATATTCAATTTTATACTTTTTAATTATATTTTAACCCGTTAAAAATTATAGTTTTATTAAATTTTATTTATTAATTTATGTTATTATTTTTGAATTTTCTTTTTGAAACACCCTATGGTCATAGCGCCGACACTTGATACTAACAGCACTATTAATCAAATTTTCACTAATCTGAGAATCTCCGAAATAGTAGATTTTCTGCTTAGTTTCCTTTTTGTATGCAAATTTTTATTGTAATAATCTACTAAGCAACTAATCTGTTGCCTGAACACCCTTTCTATAACTATGGAGGAGGAACAATTAAAGATGAGGCACGACCATTTTAACAAGACTTTTACTGTGTTAACAACTAAGAACGATATGCCGCAAATTGGTCAATCAAGGCGACCATTACGCAATATATGTAATGAACCCCCAACTAAACAAGAAATCGCATTAGCGATAAGTTTGTGGCGAACTCGCCACACATACTGCAGCGCCCTCTGTGTGTGAATGTACACGCACTCGCACCATCTGTGGGCAAAAGGAACATTTTTCAATGAGCAGCTAACTTCAGTAACTGGCGACTGGCTTCCTTCTTCTTCCTATTTTGCACGTTTTAGTAACACAACGTTTTTATCATTTTGTAAACATTTGTTATATTTATTTAAAATAAAGTGTGTGGTAAAAACCCACATAATTGGTGACCCCGACGCAAATTAAACACATAATTGGAAGCAGCGCAAGTTATTTATTTATTTCATAAAGTCAAAACAAACTTGCACAATGTTGGGTGACGCAATGCTGAACAAAGAAGCAGAAATGTCTAATGCCGACAAAGAAACAACAGCAAAGTCAGCAGCAGCAAGCACGAATTTCACAACAGTAAAAAACGATATTGATGCAGTAAAGTTAACGAATTTGCCTTCATTTTTGCAAACTGACCCGGAGTTATGGTTTACTCAAGTGGACGGATTACTACACATCAATCGCATCACCTCTGATCTATCCAAATTCTACACGGTAATCACAGCACTAGACGGCGAAACGCTTCGTCAAGTTTCAGACATAGCAAAAAATCCGCCAGCTATGGGCAAATATGAAACGCTGAAAAATGAATTAATTTCACGATTTGGGGAGTCGCGTCAGAAACAATTGATTAAATTGCTAACGGATTTAGACGTGTCTAACAAGCGTCCAACGCAGTTGCTTCGAGAGATGAGAGATCTGGCAGCGTCAAATATGTCGGAAGACGCCTTGTCAGCACTTTGGTTGCAGCGATTGCCTAGTAACATTCGTTGCATCTTATCTGCGTGCAGCTCCAAGGATGTTAATCAAATGGCCGAATTGGCAGATAGAATAACTGACAATATGCCCACTCCTCATTATGTTATGGCTACCGCATCTGCAATTAACCGACGCAGTAACACAGAGGAATCAACATTGGAGGCACGTGTGACAGCGTTAGAAATATCTCTGCAACAAGTGGTAAGTAAACTAAGTGAAATAGCAATAGAGCTCAGACGACCAGCAAACTCACAGGGGCGAATCAGGGCTCGCAGTTCTAGCAGAACTCAGTTTAAAAGTCAGCGTGAAGATCGAAAAGTCTGTTATTATCACATTAAATTTGGAACAGCTGCAACAAAATGCTTAAAACCATGCGAGTTCGGCTGCCAAACAACTAATATCAAACAGAAGGAAAACTAAAACCGTTGTCGTCCACAAGTGCAGTAAACGACAACGCGCTGGAACACTGCACTGAAGAAGCTCGTTTACATGTAATTGATCGTATCTCAAATATGAAGTTTCTAGTTGACACCGGATCGGCCGTATCCATTATTCCTTTAGCAGCAATCACAGTGAAACGCAACCTAGTGCCAGATGAACTAAAATTATTCGCAGCAAATAATTCATTTATTAAAACGTACGGTACTAAGAGACTTAGCATCAATCTTGGTTTACGACGCAGTTTCAATTGGAACTTCATTATAGCAGACGTCAAATGTCCAATCTTGGGCGCAGATTTTCTGGCGAAATATGGTCTAATTCCAGACATAAAATCAAGACGGTTATTAGACCCGCTTACTACATTGTCGTCATCTGGTGCAGTTGAAACCACATCGATACATTCGGTATACACATTGGATCCAAATTCAAAATTCTTTACAATCGTCAACAAATACATTGATTTGTGCAGTGCAAATAACTATAGCCTCCCTGACGCATCTGTAGTCTGTCATCAAATAGTCACTGATGGTCAGCCAGTGCATGAAAGGTCACGCCGTTATTCAACGGAAAAATTAAAGGCAATTCGCGAAGAATTTTCAACGCTGTTGGAGCAAGGAATTATTCGTCCGTCAAACAGTCCGTGGTCGAGTCCAATTCACCTGGTAAAAAAGAAAACAGGTGCTTGGAGAGCCTGCGGTGACTTTAGAAAACTAAATGCGCAAACCAAACCAGATAGGTACCCAATACCATACCTAGACCAAGTAACGGAAAAACTACATGCTAGCAAATTTTTTTCAAAGATTGATATACATAGAGCGTACTATAACATACCGATGCAAGCTGATGACATATGCAAAACCGCAGTAAGTACACCCATTGGGTTATTTGAATTTGTAGTCATGCCGTTTGGTCTTAAAAACGCTACGCAAACCTTTCAAAGGTATATGGATTCATTGTTCAGGAAAATGCCATTTGTCTTCTGCTACCTTGACGACATTTTAATATTCTCAGAAAGTGAACAGCAGCATTTGGAACATGTAGAAGCAGTACTAAAAACACTAAATAAGGCCAAGCTTGTCATAAACACCGCTAAGTGCGAGTTCGGAGTTTCACAACTAAGTTTTTTAGGGTATGATGTATCAGTCGATGGTATCAGCCCGCCTGTAGAACGAGTGAGAGTAATTAATGAATACACGAAGCCAAAGACAGTAAAAGCAATTCGTCGTTTTTTGGGAATCCTAAATTATTACCGCAAGTGTATTCCACAGGCCGCCAAATTACAAGCACCTTTAAATGAGCTATTAAAAAATTCAAAAAAGAATGACAACACGCCTATAACATGGACTGACACGTTAGATGCAGCGTTTGAAAACTGTAAAACAAGTGTAACCGCGTTACCTAAATTAACATTTTTGTCTCCATTAAGTGCAATTCGATTGACATCGGATGCATCAAACAACGCAGTTGGTGCAGTACTGGAACAGCAAGAAGGTGATGTTTGGCGACCGGTTGCTTTTTTCTCTTCGAAGCTCAAGGCAGCGCAGAAGAATTATAGCACGTA